ACCCTGGTTGATTCATGAAGTACCACATACCATAGACTCTAGATGCCATAAATTATAAGATAAAAATTATTTTATGTCAGCCAAGAACAAAAAGATATAGCAAATTAAACTATGTCATGATATCTTAACAACAGCCCTGCTTGACACATGTCAGTCACTTCAGCTTCTTGTTGCTTTGAAATTTCTTTCATGTCTTTGAAAGATTTAGAACTTTTTTTTGCTTTTAGTTGCTTTGCTTAGTGTATGATAGATAATCATGTCATGCCTATCTCAATAATAAAAGTTAACATACTTTATCTGCTCATATCTTTTCTTCTTAGGTATACAGCAGTAGGTTGTTGCTTTGCAAGAAAATATAAAATGAAGGTCATTACTTTAAAATGAGTATTCATATCACTAATAGCAAATTCATACCCCTTTCTGCATACACAATAACTTTCTATGCATGTATCAATAATTGCATTACTCATTTGAGGTAATGCCAATATAAGCAACTATGACCAGGTTAGTGCATGTACAAGCAATGAAATCCATATTTCATTCTGCCTGCATAGTGATCACAACAAGCCATTGGCAATAAGACACATAGCAATGTCAAAGATTTAAAATATGAAAAATTGTGCTTTTTAGAATCTGTAAAATGCTATTGTGTTCTTGATTTCTTTTATGTATGAAGATCTAGGTTGAAATAAGTAAGAGCTTGAGTTATTCTGTTAACTCAGGAGAATTTAGAAATAAGGAAGTATAAACCCCCAAAGTTGAGAAAGACTCAGAATTGTGCATTTTTCATCTGCACTTTAGTATGAATTAGGGCCAGAAGAATGTTGGGATAGTAATTCAATTCCCATCCCTTCCAACTCAGAATCATAACAACTTATTCAGCCAGTTTGAGAGAAGGCTCTAATGCTAAGTGAATTATGGAGGAGTCATTCTGAATTCTTTAGCATTAGTATCCTCATATGTAAAATGAGGCTACCATATTATCTATTTACTCTGGGGCTGTTGTAGGCCAAATATGGTTTTAGATAGGGCCACACTGTAGGCCAACATCTCTTCACAAATAGAACACATTAGTCTCAGTTAGGGCAGCCAGCTGCTCCTCTTCCCAAATTTGGCTCAACTCATACTCTCTAATACCTATAATCTAAATAATAATTGGAATTTTTTCATTAAAGAATCTCTGATTTTGTCTTTAGTTCATATCTCCAGGCTGAGGTTTTACATAAGTAAATTTTTAACTGGGAGTAGATGGCCTTCCTCTGGTATATCTATTAGTGGTATG